ACTAATTCAATAATATTTCAACACTCCCCCTTGAATGGTCATCTTCTAATTATTTTGGGGTATTAGTTTCATAGTATTATAATGTATTGTCTCGTTAAAAACCTTTGTCAGGAAAAACCCAGTGGGAAAAAAAAATCTTGACGAAGGGAAAAAGAGTGCAGTGCATTATATTACTCCCCCTCAATTTAACATATATCACGAAGACGATACATTCCAATTTTGTGGACAAGTTCTTCGAATTTCTTCGGTGCGAATCACTTTGTGAATAAATCAGCAGGTTGTCATAGGACTTGATTTGTTTGGCATCAACTGTTCCATCTTTGTCAAGATCATGTGTGGAGAAAAGGTTATGGTGCTATATGCTTTGTTTTATCCCTTTTGATGTAACATCATTTGACCTGCGCTATAGTTGGCTAACAAATTTATAGAAAAAGCTAGCAATATCTAGTCAAGTATTATATTAGCCAAATACATCAATGCTTCAATAGCATTCAAATATATTATTTCACGACCAATGATTTATTCATCATATTCACAAGGTCGGAAAAAACATCATTCATATTGAGATATCGAAACATCATTGAAGAATTGAGCGGGTGTGTTTTATCCATGTAAAACCGCTTCAAAAGTTTCTTGGTATAATTTGATTGGTGAATAAAAATACCGTTTCTCAAATGTTCAATTTGAATGACGTGATAAAATTTTGTTCTCCCAATGTCTTTCATTTCAAATTCTTTCAAGAGATATTTTGCAATATTTTCAATTTCATTGGGAGTTCCAATCATGTTTAAATTATCAACATATATTGCAATTATGGTGAATCCTGATTCGGATCGCTAAATGAAAAACGCATGGACTAATAGGATCATTTTTATATCCTTCTTTAATCAAATATTCACTGAGACGGTTATACCACATGCGTCCAGATTGTTTTAATCCATATAATGACTTTTGCAAATTTATGGAAAATAAATTTCGAGATTTCGAGCTATAAGCATCAGGTACTTTAAAGCGTCCAGGAATTCTCATATATGTGTCTGTGTCGAGTGAACCGTATAAATAAGCGGTCAACACATCCATTAGGCGCATTTGCGGCCTTTCAAAAATAGACATGCCAATTAAAAATATTAATGTTGCAGCATCAACTACTGGAGAATGCGTCTCATCATAATCGATTTCTGGCATTTGAGAAAAACCTTGGGCAATAAGTCGGGCTTCGTATCTAACGATTTCATTTTTCTCGTTGCATTTACGCACAAAAACCCATTTAAAACCAACAGGTTTTACGCCTTTTGGCGTATGGACAATCGGTCCAAAAACATTACGCTTTTCTAGCGATTTTAATTCTACCTGAATTGCTTTATTCCATTTTGGTCAATCATTTCTACGACGACATTCGTCAATAGATTTAGGGCTCATTGTCATCGTGTTCATTCATTATATCTGTGGCGATGGCATATGAAAATATATTATTAACATCAATATCATTTATATTCCATTGTATTCCATTAGAAATGTAATTAATTGAAATTTTGAAATTATCGACATTTCTATCTTTATCTGGAATATTTACCTCTTCAAAGGTGATTGGATCCTCTTTTGAGGTATCGTTATAATTGATGTTATCTTCAAGGCCGATATTTTCAAAATGTTCATTTTCTTCTTGAGAAGGTTGAACTTCTTTGGCATCACAAACTACAACTTGCTATTTAAATTTTCTTGGTTTCAAATCTCTTGAACCAAGTGGTCTACCACGTTTTTTACGCCCATAGAATCATTAGCAAGTGTTCTTTCGCTAATATCCGCAGGAATTTCTATTCGAGAAGGAGCATTCATAGCTGGAACATGTGACTTTGTCATTTTCTTTGAGTCTGTGAAAGCATCAGGCAATTGGTTTGCAACATTTTGTAAATGAATAATCTTTTGAATTTCTTGTTCACAAGCATTTGTGCGAGAATCAAGAAAAGAGAAATTTGTTGCATTCCAAATAATATCTTTCGTATGTGGGTCCATTTCTTTAATATCTCCCCCTAAGGCTGAGAATACTGTCTCATCAAAATGACAGTCATCAAACCGCGCGGTGAATAAGTCACCGGTCATAGGTTCTAGATAATTAATAATTGAGGGTGATTTAAAACCAACATAAATTCTTAGCCTTCTTTGAGGAACCATTTTAGTACGATAAGGTGGAGCAATTGGTACATACACAGAACAACCAAATATTTTTTGGTGTGATATATTTGGTTCTTTACTAGATATTAATTGTAATGGGGAAAATTTATGATACGTCATTGGCCTAAGCCGAATTAAATTTGCAGCATGCATTATAGCATATCCCCGTGCAGATGATGGTAATCTGGATTTCATCAATAATGGTCTAGCAATTAATTGTAATAGCTTAATTAAGGATTCGGCAAGACCATTTTGTGTATGTACATGTGGAACTAGATGTTCCACATCAATCCCAATTGACATGCAATAGTCATTAAAAGATTGAGATGTGAATTCTCCTGCATTATCAAGTCGGATTTTCTTTATCGAATAATCCGGAAATTGTGATCTCAAACGAATAATTTGAGCAAGGAGATTGGCAAATGCAAAATTTCTAGTCAATAAAAGACTGATGTGTGACCAATGTGTTGATGCATCAATGAGCACCATAAAATATCTAAACGGTCCACACGTAGGGGTAATTGGCCCACAAATATCTTCTTGAATTCTTTCTAAAAATGCAGGAGATTCAACTCCAATTTTGTATAAAGATGGTCTGATAATTAATTTGTCAAGAGAACAGGCAGTGCACGGAAAATCACTTCATTGCGGAAACTTGGCATTAGGTAATGAATGTCCAAGTGAATTTTCAATAATTTTGTGCATCATAGTGCTGCCTGGATGACCTAAACGGTCATGCCACAAGATAAAAGAATTGTGGTCATAAATTTTAGATACCACATTTATCTCAATTGTACTGATATATGTATAATACAGTCCTGAGGAATATGCTGACATTTTTTCAGAAATGTATTTATTGCCAGATCTATTTGTCGTTAGACATAAATATTACTTCTGATTTTCCGACATGGTTTCAATATGAAAACCATTTAGACGCATATCTTTAAAACTCAAAAGATTTTTCCGTGATTTACTGGAGTATAAAGCGTCTTTAATTATTAATTTTGTCCCTTTTGGGAGAATCACATAGGCTATTCCAGAACCTTCAATGAGTTTAGCAACACCTGAGATTGCATTGACATTAGCATCAACTAATGTCATATGAGAAAAATAATCTCTATATCTCAAAATGGTGTGCGTTGTGGCACTGTCTATTAGACATTGTTCAGAGCCACTTGGAGTAATTTTAGTTAACTCCATATCTTCGAAAAGATAAAAATGAACAAATATTAGTTCAATACTGTAATATAAACAAGGCTTTATTCATTAAAATGTACGTAAAATTTACAATCGAAATAAGCACACCAAATAAAAATTACAATACAAACATACTTTTATTACAGAATATATTACATAATAGAATTATTTCAAATTCCTTTTTATTTGCTTATTTATTATTTTTCACCCATAACGATGTCGGTGTTCATCTCATTATCGTCCATATAGAAATCAGACACATTAAATGTGGGCATTGGTGGATCGTTTTCATTGACGTAATTAGTTTCCACATTCTTTCCTTTTAGAGATGATTTATATAAATCAACCAAGTGTCTAGGTGTACGACACTTATTTGCCCAATGTCCCGACGTGCCACACTTAAAGCAAGTGACTTTGGCCTTTTCTGAAGATTTCGTCGGGCTCTTTGTTTGATGGGGGGTTTTGCTTACCCTTGCCTTTGTAAAATGAGCTACTACTCTGTTTGTTTCCCGGCTAGGTCCATTATAACGACCAATACCACGACCACGTTTGAAATGTCCACGAGCACCACTATGGGTTGCATTTGATTCATGTTTTGAACCATGATTTGGTAGACCAAAACTAACCAGGCTACAACCCGTGGGTCTCATATTGTGGTTTCTCATCAAAATGTCAGTATTCGTCTCAACAAATAGTAATACTGATATCAAATCAGAATACTTTTGAAAGTGCTTTTGTCTATATTGCTCTTGTAAAAGCACATTTGAAACATGCATAGTGGACAAAGTTTTTGTCTGCATAATTTTAGTTTTGATGTTATTTGGAACAAAGCAGAGTTGTAGTCACTTATAGATTTGTAATCCTGGAATTATAAATTGATCCAGTCGTATTAAGCTTTTGGTAAAAGGACCTTTTGTTGATGGCCATACCTTTCTTGGAGATTATCCCATAATTCTTTAGGGTCATCTACCAATAAATACTCATATTTCAAACTTTCATGAAGATGATGACGAAGAAAGATGATGGATGGCTTTTGCCTTATTTTGGGGAGTGGCTGAATTATTTTCAGCAATTGTATTTTCAAGGGCATTTGCTTTTAAATGTGCCAAAGCGTCGACTTTTCATTCCAAATACTTTTGGCCAGATAAATCATGGACGCTGAACTCTCTTTTGCTACTATGTGCCATAATCTACTACTAGGAAGATGATGATTTCAGAAATTTGGAGCAAATTCGTGCTTATAACGTGTTATAATATGGAAGGAAATAAGCAGAAGATTAAGGAGAGAAAGTATAGTATGAACACTTAGTGATAGATTATATTATTGAGTGTGATAATGCTGTAACCATGGTGTTTAAGAAGAGTCATTACAATGAAGGAGAACACTCCTATTTATAGGAGAAAAACTAAACTCCTTAGGATTAGAAGATAATTGGGTACCACACAATTATCATCTAGAATCATAATTATGATTTTCTGATTATTTATATAATGATGATAGTAATTCCTAATCACGAATAGTTGGAAGATGACTAATTCAATAATATTTCAACATAGTCTTCTTTGTTAATGCAATCATTAGTCTTCTTTAAATCATTCAACCCCCCCCCCCCCCCCCATATCCAAAAAAGTCATTGTGAATCACATCAAATGCATAGGAATAACAACAGGAATCACATTATGGCTTATATGAAAAGAAAAGTTATCTCTGGACATGATTTAGGATTCTATGCTTCACAAATCCCACTGCATCTTCAAAGAAAATCCAAGCAATGAAAAAAAAAAAAGGGTAATAATGAATAAAAGGTACACATGAGAAGTGATCTAGCTAAAGACTCAATCCAGCTACCAAGATTTTGAAGCTAGAAGCTTTAGGCCAGATGTAATGTCTCCTTTTATAGAATCCAGCATATTGGTTTTGGTTTCTGTAAAAAGGAAAAATAAAACTTATTTACATGCTAGCTTTGGCATTGTGAACAAATGAACAATGATATGGTTTGAATGTAAATCGTACCTCACAAACAATCTTCCAACGCCCGGGGTTCCACAAGAATATAGACTGATCTTCCTTTTAGCCTGCTTTGCCCTTTAACTTCGGGCAAGCCAATAACGCAGCCACATTCAACGACTTCAGCTCCCATTTGTTCTAAAATAAGAGATTCATTATTAAGACATTTCACAATGACCAAAAGATACAAAACCACATATAAGAACTTAGATTACTCCATCTGTCACACATCTAAATTAATGTGATGGATGACTCATGAAAAATCAAAATGTTAGGTCATCGGATGAATTCACATATAAAGTCTGAGGGTACTCTTCATATCAAATGAATCTTTTAAAATGAAACTGAACAGTGTAGAAAGATTAGAAGTACCTAGCAGTTTTATTGCAGCTGAAAGAGTGCCACCCGTAGCAACCAAATCATCAATGACAACAGCACGATCCCCCTTCTCCACTGCACCAACGTGCATCTCTAAACGATCTTGTCCATACTCCAATTCATAAGACACCGATATTCGTTCACCTGTGAATCCATCATCACTATCAATCTAGCTATACAAACATTCTTCTAACTGCGGGATATAAACAGCCTAATATTTCAGTCGGTATAAAATTTCAGGATAACAAGCCTAACAAGAACATATCATTGGCGGAGAAAAGGACGACTACTTGAATGTCTGAGTTTACAATCACATACTCGGTATTAATTTATCGTCGGGTTTTTCTTATTAAGAGCATATAAATTTCTTATTATTACTAAAATATAACTTATGGACAAAAAATATGACAACATAGTAAGTATCCTCACTGTGAAATCTCAACAGTGTCACTGCAACTTATAATTCAACATCAGCAATGTCACTGTGAGAGTACCAATAATCTTGTTTGTGCTATTAAAAGTCATCGCGCATCAAAAGTCATAATTTTGTCTATTACTTTTGTTTGTGCATATTCTTGCCACTATTTCATTATCATTATCTAGCAATAATCTTGCCATTTTTATTGATGTATATTCTGTTTACTGTTAATTGTATGGAAAGCACAACAAAGCACATTTAAACATCATATTAAGAACAAAGAATTACTTCAAACTCTTACTACTTTATGCTTCATTATATCTGAGCAAAATAGGGACAACATAGCGAACCTGGCAATTTTCCAGGCTTGCGTAAAGGAACAAACTTTGCACCAATAGCTAGGGCGATTGATGGACCAAACATGAATCCTCTCGCTTCGATTCCTAAAAGGTTGGGAACTTTCATTAGTATCTTCATTCAAAAATCCAATTTTGACATCTGAGATAAGAAATTTGCTATTTCATCCCTCAATGAACCTTTAAGGAAAACAGTTCCACTGTTTATCCTTTAATTGACTATTTTTAAAACAGCTGAGGGATTAAATAAATGACAAAAAGGAACTGCACTTCATTAGGTGGGTGATTAGAAGTATGCAAATAGTGTTTTCTCTCTAAAGTAGCTTTTACTATGGTAAAAGTTTTCCCTGATTAATGATAACACAATAATAGATTCAGTCTGAACGCAATCTGTAGAGCCAACAAAACTTGAAGCTAATCATTGGTCCCCCACTAGGGAAAATAATGCGAATGCATATCAATCTGTCAAATGAAAAAATATTCCACAGTATAGCAAGAATCCAAAACATCCAATGGAGCACTATTAAATGATTAAACACTTGCGGAAAAAGACAATCAGGAAAAGATCATACAACTAATCCAAACAATATCTTTGCAGCTATTGAAGAAACTGAAAACCATTTTGCTATTAATCAAATCTATGAAAATCTTAGCCATTTGGGAAATGCCTCAATTTGAAAATGACATTTTATTGAAAATGTTACCCTATGACTGTAAAAAACACTGAAAGGGCGAGGGTTGGGGATTAAACTTACCAGCAACAACGGAGATGCCCATGTCTTTGTATCTATCAACAAAAATGTCCACAGTGTCCTTAAAGACCTTATGATTCAACAACAAAGTCGTGATATCTTGGAACATTATACCTGCATGAACCCAAGAAAGTAAGAAACATTCGTTCAAATCAATTGAATCCTATCAAGAACACACAACCCAGAAGAAAAAAAACGCAACAAAAATCAAGAAATTAAAGAAAAATAAGAAAAAATGGAGATCAAAGGTGTTACCTGGTTTTGGGAAGTGAGGAATTACTCTAATGGCTTCAAAAATTCCCTGAAGCCTTGGGTCTCCTTTCAGCCCATTCTCTGCTGCAAACATCTCTCTCTATCTCTATCTCTGCAATTTCTTGTGTGGTCTGTGATGTTTAGTGCTCTTTAAACTCGCTCTAAGATAACAGTGTACTTTCTCCCTCTTCAATGCCTTCCGTGATGTTTATGGTTTATTGTGCACTATGCAAGTTCCAACAGCTGGGCTGTTTCTTCTTTTTCCTTTTCTCTTCTCCCGAAGTGGGAGAGGGAAGTACTACGAATAAAAAGATCAAATCTTTGTGTTTTGGTATGGTGGGTGTGTCCAAGGAAAGTGGTTTTATATTGATTTTTGCCCTCTGTTCGCTACAACCAAACAGATGACCAGAGAGGTGACAAAGAAAAGTAAGTTGAGAAAGTAAATTCATGGAATAAAAAAGGTGAGATTTTTTGCATCGAACCCCACACTGTGTGTGACATAATGGTGAATGAGTACGTAATAGATGTGATTTTAAGATTTCCTAGATACTGCGTATGATTTGGGCAGAGAGAAAATTCCATATATAGATCTAGATCCAAAGTCCACACATCTGAGCCCGTTTGGAACCACTGTTTTTCGGCTTATCAGGTTTATTAACCAACTTTTTCACCAAACACGTAATTTTTGCTTTCCCGTGTTGAATTGTGTAATAAGCAGAAAAAGTAAGGTCGGAGTTACTTTTCTGGCTGTTTTGGCTGAAGTTAATGTAGATCATGATTTTAGCTATTTTTACATATAATTTTTTCTTTATTTTAATAATAAAATATATTTTAAATTTTTTTTCTTCTTAAATCAGCAGAATAAGCCAACGCAGCCACTTCAGCCAGAACTTCATAAATTTCAGCAAGATCAGCCAAATCAGTCGATTTTCGTGCTACCAAACGAGCTCATAGATTGATTTGCACGCTAGTGTCAATGTTAAGTAGCTGTTGATGTACTCCCTCCGTCCCCCTAAGTTTGGGACGGAGGGGTGTGGTGTGGTTTTTAAGAAAAAGTGGAATTGTGTGGTTGGTATTGAATTGATAAAGTGTAAATAAAGAATGAATTCTAACCACTCAAATGTTACCAAATATGGTATGGGACAAACTTAGTGGGACGGACGAAAAAAGTAAAACGGGACAAACTTAAGGGGACGGAGGGAGTATTTTTTTATGTGCAAATTAATGTTTGTGGACACATATAAGAGTTGTTCATGCTCTCAAGCAACTTATCAATTGTCTGTGACCGAAATTTTGGGTACTTGTGTAAAAAACTTGTATACGAATGGCACTTCTGCTTGAATAATTCTTTGTGTACACCCTGGGGTACACCCTAATTATTTGTCATTCACACAGACAAAAAACGCACAAATACCTACACTTTCGGTAAACTTGTCGGTGTGAAGAGAATTAATTTTCAGATCTGTCAGGTTGGTTGCACGGAAACCAATGTCGGTGTACACAGACACTAGTTGTTGGTGTAGACAAAAAAAGTGCCGATGTGAACAAATTTGGTTTGCAAGTATGCCAGAGGGTTGGAAAACCAGTGTCAGTGTAAACCGACATTAGTTGGCTGTGTAGAAAAAGTGTTTGTACATTTACAATTTTCGTTTTATGCACACCGACACTGGTTTGCTGTAAGTGTCTGTGCACACAGACAAAAAATGTACATGTACAGACACTTTTTCTACACAGACAACTAATGTCTGTGTACTCCGACACTAGTTTTCCACCCCCCTCCCCCCCCCGACAGACTTGCAAACCAAATTTGTTCACACCGACACTTTTTTGTCTACACCGACAACTAGTTTCTGTGTACACCAACAAGTGTCTGTGTACACCGACATTAGTTTCCGTGCAACCAGCCTGACAGATCTGAAAACTAATTTTCTTCACACCGACAGTTTACCAAAAATATCTGTATTTGTGCGTTTTTTATCTGTGTGAATGGCAAATAATTAGGGTGTGCACCAAGATTTTTCCATGTGATCAATTTACATGTAATTTGAAAAAAATAAAAAAATAGATGAAATTAGATGAATAAACCGGTATTGTGCAAGTAATGGAAAAAAAATTGATATAAAAAAGTAGAAGAAAAATAGGGAAAAATAATAAAATATCCCAAACTTTGAAACGGTGTGAGGTAAGCACCCCAAACTTGCATATGTAGTTTAAACACCCAAACTTTATATAAAAAGTTATTTTCTCACCATTGTCATGTATTTTTCTTTCAAAAATGTAAATTTATGGGGTTAATTGTATAATTTAAAATAAAAAATTAAAAGTGTTGCAATTATATAGATTGGGGGTAACAATATTTATTTCGGAATGAAAGTTTAGAATGTTAATTGCGCCTTCATTGATTCTAAAATATTTTAAATTACGCAATTAACACAATAATTTTACATTTTTGAAAGAAATAATACTTGACTATGGTGTTCAAATAAATTTTTATATAAGATTTGGGTGTTTAAATTACATATGCAAGTTTGGGGTGCTCATCTCACATCACTTCAAAGTTGCGGTATTTTAATTATTTTTCCCAAAAAAATATGATGGGGAAGGGAAGAGGAGGATGAAGTAGAGAAGAAGATCATCCATTTTTTGGGGAATTTTCGCAGGGGATGAGTAAAGAGGAAAGGGGGGGTGAGGGAGAAAAGGGAGATAGAAGGGGAGGGGGCAAATGAGAAACTTTTTGGCTTTTAGAGTACGTACACTTTGTATACAACTCATGCATACTCAGAATTTTTCAATCCAAGATTGTTACTCTCGAAATCAGATCATGTATTTCATAAGAAAGAGTTCTTGGTGCACACAAAATGTGTAGACATATTGTACATTGGTTGTGTACACAGATATTTTGGCATAAAATCCTGTCATTTTTCAAACGAATTGTTTGTGTACACAAGCAATTACAAAGTTGTGTGCAAATTGTGTACTGAGTCTATGTACATCTAGTATTTTTTCCCATTAAAAACAGATAACACCCATCCCCGAGTGCATCAGCACCGGCGAGACAGTTAACTGAAGGGATATAAATAGGTCTTTAATCGCAAGCTGGTAGATGGTGGGTCTGGGTCTGGTCCAGGTACTTGCAGAGACCATATGCATTTTTACATAGTAATATTTCATCGCACTTGACATGATTTGAACTTGAGACTTATCCCTTGGGGCACCCTCTATCTACCAGCTGAGCCTACTCCCACAAGGAGATCATGCATTTCATAACATAGTGCCGTTTGATGTCCTTTATTTTCAACTTTTCTTTTTGAAAACCCTTTATTTTCAACTTATAATTCTTCTTATAAAGCAGGTAACATTCGATTTCACGTGTTTAATTGCATAATTAAAATAATAAGGTTGAAGTTATTTGAGGCTGAACTAGGTGAAGTTATTGGAGAGGATTCTTTCAGTTATTTTTAATATGATTTTTTCTATATTTTATTAAGAATATACATGATACGAAGTATATTTTGAATACTCTCTTTGTCCCTTAAAACTTTGTCAACTTTCCTTTTTTTAACTTTTCTTTTTGAAAATCCTTTATTTTTTAAAACCCTTTATTTTCAACTTATAATTCTTCTTATAAAGCAGGTAACATTCGATTTCACGTGTTTAATTGCATAATTAAAAGAATAAGGTTGAAGTTATTTGAGGTTGAACTAGGTGAAGTTATTGGAGAGGATTCTTTCAGTTATTTTTTATATGATTTTTTCTATATTTTATTAAGAATATAAATGATACGAAGTATATTTTGAATACTCTCTTTGTCCCTTAAAACTTTGTCAATTTTTCTTTTATGATTGTCTCACTAACTATGTCATTTTCATTTTTAAACAAAGAATTTGTGGTTTCAATGAATTCTCTCTCTTCCGTAAAAACATCAACCACACAGTCTTTACTTTATTAATCTTGTACCGGTCAAACTTTGCAAAGTTTTAAGGGACTGAAAAAATATAATTTTTCCATAATTCAGCGGCCAATTTGCCACTTTAGCTAGAGTTTTATCAATTTCAAACAATTCAATGTTACCAAATAGGTAAAAAGGCTCATATTTGCATATTCGAAAAATAAATGAGTTGTAAGTATATACAAGCATACAAAAAGTAATTGATTACTACATGTGATTTTTGGAAGATTAAAATGTCAATCCCTCGAGCAAGCCTTCAAGTTCATAATGTCGTTTTTACACTTTCGTACACAAAATTGCCCCAAGTAAGTGCATCCACGGGTTCTAAGGCAGTTTCAGGTAGAACCACCACTTTTTGTCAAACATTTAGGTAGTACTAGTAAACTCTCACACAATAAACTCTCACTTGAGGTGAAAAAAAACATTGATCAAGTGATCATTCAAACTAGCCCCGAGTTTAGACTTTTAGAGGATATCATTTGAGAAAATCTTCTCAAATTTACAATTTTGATAACTTGAACTCAATATCCCACAAGGAACACTGAATTGTATGATAATCCATTTTAATTACTCTCACCCGTCAAAGAGAAATTAAGTTGTGTGACTAATTTACGGCTGAAACATAAAATCACTTTAGGGCTTGTTTGATGTAAGGAGTTGGATATGTGGAGTGGAGAGGAATAAAGGATAGTTTAGCTTTTTAGCAATTTGTGTTAGGAGAGGGATCCGAAATAACCTTAAGGTTTTAATATTTCTCTAAAGAATTGCCTTAAGAAGTTGCATAATTGTCTTGGGAAATTCGTGAGAAAATTCTCTAAACACGATTAATAGAAAGATTAAGCTCATATATAAGATTATTATTATGTTATTTTCAAACATGACTCATTTACTCCTATTTTGGGAAGTTCTAATCCAACTTATTTTTTTTAATATTACTAAATACGTAGTAAGTCTTATTAGAGGAAAAACATACATAATCTTTTTTTAACTTAATGTATATTATAGTCTTATATTAAACAATTTATACTCCCTCCGTCCCTCAATAAAAGGCAATGTTTCCTTTTTGGATTGTCCCTATATAAGAGGCTCATTTCTCTTTTTGAAAAATAAAACAGTGCAAAATAGTGTCAAACAGTATCAAAAAATATTCCTTATTTAGTTGTGTGCCAGTCAAACTATGTCTTTTATATAGGGGAAGGTGGGAGTATAAGTGTTTAATTAGCTGACATGAAATGAAAGGTTGTTCTAAAATCATGCAAACAGTATATAACCAAGGTCGCTTTGAAAAGTACCAAGACTCCAAGAGTGTAATCTGCGTGGGTCTTCCTCTTAGTAATTTCCCTTATTTTATTACTGGCCTGCATGAGCAGCTCAATAAGGATTGAAGTCTTATGTTCAATTCTTGACAACAACATTGTTGAAGTTTTTCTAATTTGACTATTCATTGT